CAGGAACTTCGCAGACAGAGCTATTAAAAGGTGTCGAAACGAGTTTCATGACGTTTGATAAAAGCACATGTAAATGAGCACCGCAAGTACGGCAGATTCCACGATGATGACCTTCGCTGCCGTTGTTACAGTTCGATCTTATTGTCATACATCATGCCAAAATTCACCGACAACGGTCCAAGGAGCCGGTTCACTTCAGGATCAATGCTACAATCTCAAGGTAGAACTTATTGCGGTAAACGAAAGGTTCTTTTTCAGCCTCAAACCACTTTATGGTATCTTTCTTGCTGATCATGGCGGATATTCTCGTAATCATAATCATCTTTTCACTTCTACCCATATTTCCACAGTCATTTTGCAGCTGCAGTTGGTGAGTGTAAGTAAGCTACTTAAGGAGTCGCCAGATAACGCGTTGTAATCCCTGTGTCAAGGCAAAAATACGTCGTGTATTTGAGTGGAGCCCTCATTCAAACTCAATCCACTGTTCCTTTTTTGAACGAAGCGCTTTCGCATTAAGTAATCTGCCACGATGTTGGAACATAGCAGAGAGCACATCTGCCTGCCAAACTCCAGTGGTGATGTTATACCAGTTCGGCGACAAACTTTTAGGTCTTAGGAATCTGTTCCTGCCTACAAACCTTCTAGAAGGTTGCCACAGCCCGTAAAGTTCTGCGTTGATTGTTGTGGCACGATGTAACGATAAACTAAATCATAGGTTGCCCCAGATACAGAGAAACGTTCACGTCGGGGCAATTTCAACGTTCCTACAACGTAGAGTGCCTTTTCCGGACGTCTGTTGCATTATTTCATAGCGACAACTTCGGTCTTCAAAGGATGAACTGCGTGAACACCTTCTCCAACACAGACAGAAGGTGATTCTTCGACAGTCAGTTTAAGTACCACGGTTCCTGGTCATGAAACTTCAGATGATTACGCCTTTCTTTCAGTTTCGAGAAGATTAGCGACTTTCGCCGTTAGACCAAGGAAAGATACCGCTTTTGCGATTATGGGTTTATGTATCGAAATGTCTTTCAAGTAGGGCGTTCAGCTACGAAACAAAATATATATCGTCTCTCAGATTGCTTGGACTGATCATGAGTAAAGGCTTATATTCCGATCGCTTCCACTGTCCTCTTCCACGTCAAGATCAACAGGATTACACATAGTAAAACGATATGCAACGTGCTCTGCTCATCGTTTAGGACAGTCTTCAATGTCTTCCAGCAACTACTTTGACTATTTAAGACAGGCCAGTAGTCGACGACATTTTTCAGGTCTGGTTCACATTTGCTTTTTTCAAATTTAGCGCCTTAATTTCTTGTCAGTCCATCTGTTTTAGCAGTAGCTACTTTTAACCCGTCGTAAGCATCTTGGATGAGCCTAATATACTGTTCTGGAATCTTCTTTCCCCTTGCTCTAACACATTGATTTCTCTATTACTTTATCCAGTTTTCTGCATGCACCTACTTCGTTCAACATAGAAAGGTATTTCATTATTAAAAAACATGATATTATTCAAAATGTTGATAACCTACTTGAATAACCTAACTTCTATGAATAACCTACAAAAATCAGCGAGAAAAATTATGCATATACGTTTCTTTTTATTTAAAAAGAAAGCTTGCAAACTAATTCGTTTAAAATTGCACCCTGAATTCGCTAAAATATGAACGTTGCTCCTTCATTTAAAAAAAAAACTTATGCTCATTTTACATAAGAATCTACAACAATGCGATACGACCTTAAAGGAAGACTATCCGCGAAGCTACTACAAATTTATTACACCAGAAACAACTATAGCCCTAGTTTCTCGAACCAGCTAATCATCCAAAGGAGAAAAACGTGTAAAATCAAAAACAAACTTGTCAGGAAACCTAGACTTAAAGTATTGAGATATTCTGGATGTTGGTATAATGTATAATATAACTATGCCTAGCTAAATATAACAAACTAATCGTATGCTCATTAGTGGAAGTGCGAAACATAATTAAATCCTACCTTCAGGTCGATTACGCCGTTAGACTGTACCGGCAAATAGGTCACCTGGAATCCTTCAGCTTCCAGAAACCGGCAAGAGTCCAGCACGCATTTGTGCTCCTGAAAGCATGAGATCAGATCAAATCAGCGAAAAAATTTCTAGAACGTGCACTTACGATTTGGCTGGTCACGATGTGATTTTTTTTGTCACGGTTAAAGTGGGCGACACCCTTCACCGCCAAATTGTTCGATTCGGTAGCACCGCTAGTGAAAATGATCTCTCGGGGGTCAGCTCCAATCAAATCCGCAATTTCCTAAATAAACACGATAGAATGGAGCACATCAGTATTACTGCGGTCTGGCTTCCGTTGACTTTCCCACTATCGCTCTTCCAAAGTTTGTTAAAGGTTATGCGTAACATATGCGCATCATATGACATATCAAAATCAGAAATGATTCCGTTGTTTAACTATTTAAATCAATCAAATTTTACTGCTTAATCTGGTGAGGGTCTAACATAAAATTAGCACCTATTAACAGTGAATACATACAAGTGGGTATGTATACCAGATTTATTAAAACAACATGAAAATACAATAATTCGATTGGGTTAAAGGATGAATGTTATGCTACTTTGCTAAATTCGCTATGAAAATCCCTATTTTCCATAATCCATTTTCAGCATCCAGTCGCAGAGAGCGACCAACGACCATAAGGAATTGTCATACAATTTTGAAACCATATTGCTGAGTCGTTAGGGGAGGTGTGAACGTTTATCATGAACCTGAAACAGTCGGTTAGAGTGATTCTACCAATCATGTTTGACAGAGCACTTTGCGCTTTTAAGAGACTGCAACAACAAACTTTAATGTAAAGATCGACAGTCACCATTTATATTAACTTTATTGAAAATAGTGGAATTTGTTAAAATGCCGTTTCTCCTCTTACCATAGCACGACAAATCGTACACATGACGGACGGCATATTCTGGTGGAAAAATGCTTGACTAATGACATAAGGAACTATCATTATTTCGTGAAATCAATGGACAAGAACTATAGCATATATCCATATTTATCTTTGTGCTGCAGTCTGGGTGTACTTACATATACAATAGTACACACAAGCTGTAGCACGAAGATGCAGTTTAAAGATTCTGTAGAAATCAAGGTTTCTAATCGAGTTCATCAAGGAGATACGATATCGCCCAAGCAGTTTACCGCATGTACTGAGTCAGTATTCCGCATAAAATAAAACCGGATGGAGGATTTTCAATCAATGACAGAGAGCTCGGCTCCTCTTCGATTTGCTGAAGACATCGTGCTGTTTGGAACGAAGGCAAAAGTTGAAGCCATGCCATTTAAAGAACAGATGATGTGAAACGAATTCACATAATCGACTACAATTATCATCA